CATTAAAATATTAAAACTAAGCCTTCCATTTATAATTTCCTCATTTACTCATATTTGTAATGAAATACTTAACACTGGTGTCTTCCCTGATAGATTGAAATTTGCCGTAGTCAGACCACTATTTAAAAAAGGGAAAACTCAAGATTTATCTAACTATAGGCCTATATCCCTGCTAACTTCTTTTTCTAAGATAATTGAAAAACTTCTGTATGCTAGACTTATTACACATATCGAAACAAATAATTTACTGGTTCAAGAACAGTATGGTTTTAGATCACTTTCTTCGACTGAGAAAGCTGCTTTTTCATTGACTGATAGCATCTTATCTGCGATGAATAACAAGCTACTGGTGGGAGGCATTTTCTGTGATTTACAGAAAGCATTTGTGTGTATTAATCACAAAACATTATTGGAAAAATTAATATTCTATGGAATAGATGGGAAATTTAAATCACTCATTGAATCTTGCTTGTCAGGTAGATATCCAAGAGTTGTAATAAGGAACAGAATTGATTGTAGCAACTCTTCTGATTGGGACTTAATCAGATGGGGTGTTCCTCAAGGCTTGATCCTTGGCCCGCTCTTTTTTGTTTTATATAAATGACTTACCAAAAATAATGACATGGTATTATTTGCAGATGACACCCGTATTATAGTAACTGGCACGAACAAATTAGACTTTGATATCAACCTTAATCAAACTTTTAAAGATATTAATTTGTGGTTTAATGCTAATTTGCTCACTCTGAATTTTAATAAATCTCAATATGTTGAATTTTGTTCCATGAATCATTATATTACCACACAAATTACTTATGATCAGACTAATTTAACCAATGTGACGGATACAAAATTTTTAGGCTTAATCACTGATGATACTCTCACATGGAAACAGCATATTGATTATGTTATCAATAAAATTTCCAGTTCATTGAGAAATATAAAATACTTTATCCCTCCAGATACATTAAAGTTAATTTATTTTGCACACATTCATTCTATCTTGAGCTATGGTATAATTTTTGGGGAGGCTCTCCCTGCGCTAACAATGTTTTTATAATGCAAAAGAGGGCTATTAGAATTATTATGAATTCTGGTCCAAGTGAGTCTTGTAGGGATTTATTCAAGAACCTGGAGATAATGACATTTTATTCTCAGTTCATATACTCATTAATTTTATTTACAATTAATAATAAACATCTTTTCAATTCTGTTAATGAGATTCACAAATATAAAACTAGATCCCTAAATAATCTTTACTTACCTACTGTCAACCTATCAAAATACAGGAAAGTTGCATATGTAGCAGGCATTAAAGCCTTTAATCATCTACCTCAAGCAATAAAAATGCTGGCTTCTGATCTGTTAAACTTTAAAGCAGCATTGAAGACATTTTTACTTTATCACTCTTTTTACTTTATGAAGGAATACTATCAGCATAATTGGTAATACTATGTAAATTATAATAGAGCTAGCTCGGTAATTATTTGTAATATATTCTTAGTTCATATATGCATATGAAGAAATAATATCAGTATAACTGGTCTTAATATGTAAATTATAACAGAACTAGCTCAGTAATTATCAGTAATTATTTGTAATACAATGGGGTACCCAAAAGAAACCGAACTAACTTTTTTGTGGGCAGAGCTTTTGTAGTACCGCATTTTGCCGCTATGAGCGCATAGAGCTAACATTCCTGAGTCGATAAGCCGACTACCGTTGCTTCAGAAGGTAAGGACTAGTTTTGGCAGAGTTTATAGTGACAACTGTTCTGCGTGATCGTTGTTTTTGCAATGGCTGATTTTTGTGAACAGCGAGCGGCAGTGAAATTCTGCTTTTTGCTTGGGAAAAGTGGAACAGAAACTCTTGAAATGTTAAAAACGGCGTACAAGGACGATGCTTTGAGTGGTTTTCCCGTTTCAAAAATGGTGAAATGTCAATTGATGACAAACCTCGTTCTGGTCGTCCTTCTGCGGCCCAAACACATGAAAATGTTGAAAAAATTCGTGAAATCATCAAGGAAGATCGACGACAGACCATTGAAGAAATTGTGGAGCTGTCGGGAGTGACCTGGAGCTCAGTTCAGCGAATTTTGATAGAAGATTTGGGAATGAAAAGGGTGGCTGCGAAATTCGTGCCAAGACTGCTGACTGCTGAACAAAAACAAGGTTGCGTGGAAGCATGCTGTGCTTTGAAAGAAGAGTCCCGAAATGATCAAAACTTTTTTTCAAGAATTATCACCGGTGACGAAACCTGGTGCTAGGCTTACGATCCTGAATCAAAGCAACAATCAAGCCAGTGGAAGACTTCAAGTTCGCCTCGCCCCAAGAAAGCTCGTCAGGTGAAATCAAACATGAAAACAATGCTGATTTGTTTTTTCAATGTGAGAGGAGTCGTCCATTCAGTGTTTGTTCCGCAGGGTCAGACAGTTAACCAGGCTTTCTACTTGGAAGTTTTGAAAAGATTGCGCAACAGTTTGCAGCGGAAGCGGCCAAATTTGTGGCAGTCGGGTGACTGGTTTTTCCATCATGACAATGCCCCTGCTCACACAGCCCTGTCTGTACGACAATTCTTGACCAAAAATGGTATGACCCCTGTTCCTCACCCTCCATACTCACCCGACCTTGCCCCGTGCGACTTTTTTTTGTTTCCTCGAATGAAAAGAAACATGAAAGGAAAGCGTTTTGCTGATGTTGCTGAGGTGAAGGAAAAAACGACGGAGGCGCTGTCAAGCATCTCAAAAGATGAATTTAGACAATGTTTTGAAAAATGGAATAAAAGACTAGACAAGTGTATTAGTGTAAGTGGAGAGTACTTTGAAGGGGATTGAAGGTTTGTGCTTAAAATTTGAATAAATAAGTT